TCCCTAGTACAACCCAAAGTATGGATGGCAGTGATTGCAGTATCACAAAAAGTAGACTGTTGTATTTTGGAATGCAGATTGGTCCCTCAATTAAAATCTTTATTGTAGGCTGGAGAAATAGCTCAGCAGTCTAAGTGCCTGCCTGGCAAGTGCAAGGTGCCAAGTTTGATCACTGGTACCACATGCCATACTGGCTCCAGAACCCGGGGCATGCTGTGCCGGCCCCAGCCCTGATAGCAAGAGTGGTGGTACATGCCTGTAATCCCAGCACTAGGGAGGCTGAGACAGGAGGATCACTATGAGTCTGAACTGCATAACAAGAACCTGTATATAAAAAAAAAAATTCATTGTGATTAGATTCCATTTGAATTCAAGTGAAGTGAGTTTAATGAAGAGGAAAAGGAGGCCTATGTGACAGTCTCCACTGTACCTTAACTCAAGGTAAGACAATAAGTGAATGACTACATTCTTAAGGGCCTTGGGATTCCCATTTGTTGGCCTTGAACTCTGGGCAATCCTCTTGGCTCAGCCTCCTGAGTGCTGGGACTATAGGTGTGCATCACCATGCCCGACTGAGAATTCCCATTTGTAAAGTAAGTAAGGTGCCTATCTCCTACTCCTTTCCAGCTTGTAGAAAGAACAAGTCTCAGTGCACTTTAGGGGAAAATAAAGGAACTTCAAAATTATCAGATCTGGTCTTTCTTGAAAGGGTATAGTCCTTCAAAAGTTCTGCTGTGTGCTATGTGTGCAGAACCATAAATAATCTAGAATCCTACATATCTTGAATTTCTATTGCATTCACTCTCCAGTGATCATGGCATCTCTATGCTTACATCACAAAAGAGACTACAGTACCTACAGCTATTTTTATTTCAAGTCTTCCTGTCCTATCTACTCCATTATAATGTTAACACTTTATCATTTTGGAACTTTGGGAAATATAGAAAAATAAAATATTATCCAGAAAAAGACCAGTGTTAACATTTCTATGTTTATTACTATTTGGTCTCACAATGTATCCTTTTATATCTACCTTTGTTCATTCAACAATATACCCATAGTTAACTCAGTAAAAATCAATTACCAATGTAACTGAGACTGATTATTGGCTAAATGGTATGTACACACTCATTTCTTCTGAGAATAAAATTTTCTCCAAAAAAGAAAGCCAGCTGTGAAATGTAACAGTTAAGACCCATTCCCCAGTCCTATTAATAGCCCCAATTACAACAGCAAATGGGGATTACTTCTGAGAAGTGACCTTCCACTGCTTAGATCTTGCTGTGGTCAGTTTCAAAGCTCCCAAAGCTCACTATTCATTTCAAATTGGACCTGTGAATACAGGGTTCAGTCTTCCATCATAGTTTCTCGGTAGGAGTCAAACTGCTTCAACAATGAGCTGATTACAGAGAAAGCTGCAGCTTCAAAAGAGAAGAATTAGCACCAGCATGCTCTTTCAGAAGAAAATTTAGCTGCTTCCAAAACATCTGATTTTTTTCTTTCAGCCTGTGCTTGTCTAAGGGGGAGAGACTAAGTGGCTTTAATTCTGTGAAGGCTTAAATGATATGTTTTATATGATGAAGTCATTCCCTTCTCAAATCCCTCAGTGGTATTCCACAGCTTTGAGAATAAGATCAAGTTTCTCAGCATAGCACAGACCTCCATGATCTGGTCCCTGCCTACTTCTCTAGCGCCTCAATTTTCAAAGTATATCTCAAGGAATACTAGCCCTGGGTGTCTCTGGAAAAACCTAGTCTATCAACACAGAGATTCAGAATGTGTTGCAATTTTTTTTTTTTTTCCAGAACCGGGGATTGAACTGAGACCCTTGCGCTTGCCAAGGAAGTGCTTATTCTACTGAGCCATCTCCCTGGCCCCATGTTGCAAATTCTACAGGCCACAGCCCCACTCTTCACTTACATTGCAGGGGAGGAATGACACTGAGAAGGCTTCAAGCTTAACTTTGCATAGCTCTTTCCCCTCCCAATTTCATTTGGCAACAAAAACCTTTCTCTTCATCTAAACCATAAAATCCTTGCTTTATAATTATTTAAAATGGTCTATTTTTTTAATTTCAGAAAATTTGAATATCCTTATATTCTCACATCTTCAAGCATACCAAACTTGTTTCTTAAATTTCTTGTGTTAATCCTAAAATATCACCCTATTACTACATATTAATATCCAGTTGCCATTCAAAGCTCAACTCCCTTTCCTTGCTCATGTAGGCTTCCCAGTCACCTATTTAGTCCAAGTTAGATTCCCCTCCTCTGTGCTCCCATAGCAACCTCAACACACAGCTATCTTCATCAGAACACCTACCAACTGCACTGTGATGTTTGACTTGCTTGTTTGCCTTCCTATAATAGATTTAAGATCCTCAAGGGCAAGGAAGGGGTTTTCTTTAACCTTGTAATCATAATACTTCTGGGACTGGCACATAATACTCCGCAAATAAATGACTGTTACATGTTAAACTGGCCTCTAGATACAATACCATTTTGGAAAATCCTAGATTTTAAAAACCATTCTTGACTCATTACCCAATATAGGGCTCTATTCAGATACAGTGGTATTTTGCAAAAAATTTTAAAAACCACACTTGATCCTGTCTCAAACAAACAAAAAACACTTAATGAACCACTTCTTTATGGTACAGGTGAAATACTGCTTATCAAAATATTTGGGAACAGAAGTGCTTCAGATATGATTTCTTTTTAGATTTTTGAACTAGCTGTGTAAACATAATATAATTTGGAGAAGAGTCCTAATTCTAACCATGAAATTCACTTCATGTTTCATGTATACCTCACACATATACTCTGAAGGTAATTTTATGCATTGCTTTGAGCAATTCTGTGCATGAAACAAAGTATAACTTCTAGTATTATAGTGGTATTAAAAATGTTTTATAATTTGGAGTACTTTGGATTTTGTACTTTCAGATTAGGGATGCAAACATTTAAATATTACAGGTTTAATAATTGTTTAACATTTGTCTTTTTCACTAGCATATATGTTTCCCAAGAGTTCATATCGTACTTTTCTGTTTTGCTTATATCTTACTTGGGCCTATTATTATACTTGATACTCAATAAATATTTTGAAAAGAATAAAATCTAGTATATAATAAGTGACTGAATCCAACAGCTATTTATCCACTATCTTGTGCTGTTCCTAAAATGCACTTATTATGACCTATACTGGATATACTGTTTATTTTTTATCTAGTCTGTTTAATATTATAACTGCTAGTTGAGAAAATATGTTCCAGTAATCCTGTGTGGCATATGGCAAGAGTCAACAGATACTTGTAGACTGACAAAAACTTCTAAAATCAAAATCTATAGGAGGTACTATAGTACTGATTATGTTATAAAAGTCCCAGAAGGCAGTAACTGTCTAAATTTCTGCAAATAACAGTTTATGCAACTAGGTACTTAATAAGGCAGTTTGATAAGTACTTACATCTGAACTAGTGATTACACAGCACTCACTATTCAAGATTGATTTTATTAACATTTCTTTGACTAGAAGCAAATTAAGAGAAAAACTGTTGACTTGAAAACTGGTTTAATTCAATTTTAATGTAAAGAAAAGGAGGAAAAATAAGGAAACAAAAATACTACAATCCAACTCACTTAACACCTTTTCCTTCTCAAAATGTGTTTTAGAGCTATCTTTACAATAAACAGAATTTAAAAATTTAACTTTCATGTAAGAATTTGTAAATATAAAATAAAATATCATTCTTTCAAATATTCAAAATAAGTCAAATTGAAATCCAAAGTTTTATAAGACTTTATTTTTTTTTCGAGTCTTAAAAAGGAAGAGCCAAGGATTTAGCTCAGTTGTGCAGTTGCCTGCCTGGCAAACGTGAGGTTCTAAATTGCATTTCTGGTATCCCTTCCCAAAAAGCAGATAGTTAAAGCCTTAGGCTTCAAGTTGATCTGAAACTCCCAAATAGCATGCACTCTACTTTTATACTTCAAGTAAAAAACATGGCCTATTCTCCTTTGGTTGCATATTCCAAAGGTCTCTTAATCCTGACAATTAAAAAGTTCTTAGATTTTTTTCTTAAATATCTCTTATGTTAGGGCTAGGTTATAGCTCAGTGGCACAAGAGCCTGCCTGGCAAGCACAAGGTATTGAGTTGGACTCCCAGTACACACACAAAAAAGCTCCTATTTTTTGTGTGTGATTTTTGGGGATTTTTTTTTTTTTTTTTTTTTTGTATTTTTTTAGGGAAGGGTCTACAGAGTGTTCAGGGTCTCATTACTAGATCGGACTTGTAGTTGATTCACCTGTTTATAGTCTCCCAAGAGCTGGGATTACAGGTGTGCGCCATCACACCCAGACTCAACTGCCGTCTCAGTGTGACCTGGGGGTGGGGTTGGCACGGCTGGCCCAGGGATCAAACCCCCAGACCCTGTACCTGCTTGCAGGTGCTTTAATCCGCTGAGCTATTTGGCCAGCCAAAAGCTCTTATGTTAATCTACAACTTCTCTCTTATAATTTCTCTCTAAATAAACTGCAGAATAGCCAAGTACTAAACTTCTGCTATATTATCATATAGTAATTTCTTTTTCTGGCATTGTTCTCAAATTATTTAAACCTACACATGCTACCCTCATTTCTTTGAGCCAATTATCATACCATTATTTTATTTCCAGAGAAGTCATCATGGACTACCTAGAACAAAAGATACTTCTCTGTGCTGCTGGTTTCCCACCACAAATGCAAAAATAATGCCTGACAACTGTTCCTTTTACAAGACAAAGGGGGGAAAATAGGTATGACTATACGCTTAGTAGAATACTTATGTTAAATAATCAGAAATAATTAAGAACTGCACCAACAACCTCCAAGAGTCAAAAGACAGAACACAAAATTAAGATGTTTCCACAGTTTTTTTGATATCAGGGAAAATACTTCATGCCTACTTCTTTACTTTCTACTTCAAAGCAGAGCCCACAAACGCAGTGAGTAACCTAACATACCTCCTCTTCTCCCTGGCTTCCACAGAGGAGTCTGCTGCAGTGGAGGAGGACACCGTGACACTTGTGATCCCATTGGCAGTACTAGGCGGAGGACGATTGGTGATCACGCAAAGCGGGGTAGTAGAGGAGACACTATCTGCTGTTTTTTCTGCTGTGCAGTCAGCTTGTGATTTGTAAGGAGTCCTGGAATTAAAAAAAAATACATGAGCAAAAAGAAAATGGTCAGGCATTCGACAAAACAAAGCACTGGCACAGAGACAGGAAGGCTAGAGATAGGTCTAACTAGAGAATCTTTTTGTTCTGATTTTATTTGCAGGTTCATTAATTCTGAGCTCTTTATCTCATTACTACTGTACATTTAGTCTGATATTCTTTGCCTGAGGATTTACGAGAAATATTTTTGCTGAGATTAAAAAACCAAACAAACAAAAATAAGCTATGGCACAAAGCAAGAAAATGACATATGCAAAAGGCTTATATGATTCTTATTACCATCTGGCTTCCCTCCACACATGCACAGAGACATCATCTCTTTACACATGAAAAAGGCACTAAGGTCACTTACGATATTAGTCTCCACCTGTCCCTTAATTCTTGGCAGTGGATGTCTTTCTGGTAGTCTTCAGCCTAGGTTGGACCATCTTCTTAGATTATCCATTTGAAAATAATCTATAACCTCAGTATGCTTACTTCTCCCTCACCTAGTTCAGTAACAGCAGTCTCTTTCTATTCAAACAAATGCTTAATTTCTATATTCATAACTGCATGTGTCAGAAACTGAAACAAAAACAAAATAGGATTCTACACGTACCCTTAACAGACTTTCAACAGCAAGCTGTATAATTAAACTCATTTATGTGAAAACAAGATCTTTGTTTCTTAACAAAGAGTAAGGAGCAACCATTGGCTCTCCACCCAAAAAGCTATCATTTGTGATGTCACAGCTTGTTGCTGGGGTAACAGAGATCCAAAATTGATACAGTATTCACAGAGATGGGAAAAGCAATGAAAAGCACGAATGTTAAAAATCTGTTTTTCACCTGATAGTCATTACCAGAAATATGTACAAGTAGATACAAACTGGCTTCCAAATAATCACTATCAAAATAAATATAAAGGAGATAATCAGATTATAAAATCCAAATATAATACCTAAATACAAATATAAATTTGGAATACTTTTAGAGATGTAGTATCCAAAATACACAAGCTATTTCTCTAGAAGTACTAAGAATGTGAAATTCTTTTTTTTTTAATTTTTTTTTTTTTTTTTTTAGTGCAAGGTGTACAGGGTCTACAGGGTCTCACTACACAGATTGTACTTATAGTAATTCTCCTGTTTTCAGCTTCCAAGCGCTGGGATTACAGCGCCCACCACCATGCCCAGTCTTTTTTTTTTTGGGGGGGGGGTAGACAGGGGATTGAACTCAGGACCTTGCGCTTGCCAGGCAAGTACTTATTCTACTGAGCTATCTCCCTGGCCTCCACTCTGGTCTCAATCACCATCTCAGTGCACCCTGGGGGTGGGGGCAGGGCCAGCACCAGCAGGGCAGGCCAGGGATGGAATCTCAGACCCCTGCATCCGCCTAAGCAGGCACTAAGAATGTGAAATTCTGTATTTGTTTTCTAACATAAAAACTGAAGGAAAATAATTTCTCAGACTACTTAGTCTATAGGAAAAACTAATGAAGTTACCCAGAAACACACTTACAAAAATTATCTAAGCCAGAGATAGTGGCACATATCTGTAATCCCAGCACTTGAGAGGCAGGAGAATCACTGCTGAGTTTGAGGCCAGTCTGGGGTATGTAATGTCAGTACTCCGAAGGCTGAGCCCAAGGATGTCAAGCGACCAAGGCAACAAAATAAGACTGCAATTCAAAAACCAAAACAAAACCAAAAACAAACAAAAAACCACCTTATAGTAAAGTCTTATCTGAAAATAAAAATTTGTTTATTTAATAAAGTTTTAGTCACTCTACAATTTCTTAAACTATTGAAATGCCAGAGGTTTTAGGTTGGTTTTATTTTCCAACAGGGTTTTTACTATTATTTTGAAATGTGGTATAATTTCTTTTACTACATAGTAGAGATCAAATTCAAGGCCTCATACTTGCTAGCCAAGTACTCTACTTCTTAGCTGTGTTTCCTAACTTAAATGTACTATGATTTTATAAGCAGACTGTTAGGAACAGAATAGTATAAACTCCAGAGCAGGGATCAGAGAGGCTGTGCAAGGGAGTAGAATAAATGTAGAACCTCTTGGAATTAAATTTAAGCTAATTTAACTCATTCTAATATCTTTATTTGAAAAATAAAGACAATAACATGCTAACATTTAGGATTCTAACAATTAAGTAATATATGGAGAACGACTAACATAGTGCCTAGAATAAAATATGAATTCAGAAGAAAAAAAAGCAGTGACAAAATAGGTAAAAAGCCTGAGTGGCAAAATCTGGATTCAGTCCTGCATGTTCCTCATTAGCAGTGATCCTGGCCTAATGATAAGGCTTTAGGTTTCAGTTTCATCTGTAACGGTAACATTTCATTACTTGGGAGCTCTTTCTGAGACTACAGGTAATATATACATATCTGAAGCAACTAATAGGCTACCTCATATCTATTGACCTTTTCTTCCTTACTAACAAAATCCCCGCATTACTGAGGGCAACAATGTACCTATTAAAGGCCCATACTTTTAAGTCTTGCAGAATGCTGGCAGTATCCAAAAAAAGAGGAATAACAGAAAACTACTACCCCGAGAAAATTCTCAATTCAGAGGCACACCCTTTTTGGCTTCCTGCCTAGAGTACAGCCTAGATAGCTACAGCTGTAGCAGTTATTTTGAACCATGAAATAAAAGCCCTAATATAAAGACTACAGAGCAATCTGTAAGCCCTGAATCCCTTAATGTAATGACTTTGGGGCTATTATGTAGCCCTGACTATTTCTGAAATTCAAGTGCAATAAAAAAAAATTGTTATCATACATGGATTTACTATTATACATAAGTAACCCAAATCCCAATGTAATTTTGTATAGTACTTAACCCAATGCTTGTCACACAACAGAATTCAATAAGTGACAGCTATATTTTTACCCAGTTTCAGCTCTTAGCAGTTAATTAATTTTCATGTTTTTGTTTATTCATCTATAATATTAATATTTACCATGTCTATGCAGCTCAGTCAATAATGTGGAACCAATAAATTTCTACCAATAATCTGTCATAAGCCTGTCCTTCCTCATAAGTAACTGGATTATAAGAATATAATTAATTTCTACATAATTATTCAGTGTTAATAATAATCCACCACAAACTCAGTGTTTGTGGACAAATTAATGATCCTACTTAATTAAGGGAAGAAATCTAGTAGATGGACAAATATCAATCAAGTACTACCATACCATGTGTTCTTCCACAATACTACCATTATAAACATCTTTTTCATTTTCTTTATGTCAATTGTAGGGACAAGATCCAGAAAACCATACCCCAAAAGCAAACAGGCCTCTGAGCACTACAAGGATTAAAAACCAGAATTAAAACTGCAGTCAAAGTCATGCTGTACTTTTGCAATGAGAATGCCTGTGCTATTCTCAGATGAACTAGGAACCAAGCAGATACTGCTTCCAGAACCCAGGTTACACAAACACAAATCATTCCTTTCCCACAGTGCTCTCAGAAAAATATTTTCATTGGCAGAAAACTGTAAGAGGCTTTTGGAACATAAGCTAGCCTTCCTTGTGATTTGGTCCCTATGCCAACTTCCAAAGTGACTAAATACATGAGATTTCTATCTACAATCAGTAGAAAATTAATAAGTAAAATATGGAAGTATTTTTAATATTTAATTTTCTATAACAAGTTTGATCTTTAGTTATCGCAATTGGTAAGCATGTTAAGGAAATGAAAGCAGCAATGCTAAGCTGACCCCTGAATACTAACTATAATGATATATAATCTATGTCATTCACTAAGTAATTGTTGCCTGATGAAAGCCAAAACAAAAGAACCTTCATTAGTTTATGGAAATTTACATGGGAATTCAAACATGATTCTACAGTGACAAAACCTCTTTGGTTCAAATCCCGTATGTGTTCCCAGAGGCATTAACTTTGATTAATGCAACTCAAATGGCTCCAAGAAGCCTTACCTGCCATGTTGGACTGATGCAGTAGTGTTTGCACTGATTGGTGCAGAGCAAGAAGAGGCAGGTTGCCACTGGCTGCCCCGAGAGGTAGATGAACCAATGGTAATGGGTGAGGTAGCAGGAGATGAATTGCGATTGGCTGAAATGTAGGGACTTGTGGGGTCACTACTTCTACCAAATGAAGCACTGCAAAACAGCACACAGTCACTTTCTTCAGGACATGCTGTTTACCCACCATTTCCCAGTACCACCTTCCCACCCAGATTGTGCACTTAAAAAGAATGTAGAACAAAGAGAAGGTATGATGACTGGGAAGTGGAGTGATCAACTCCAGCTGGAGCTGGGTCACTAGCAGTAAGCAGGCAATCATCCATCACTTTTTGAAGGATGATCTTTTGGTTAATCACCCAAAAGAGGGAAGGAAGAGAGATGATATTTAACAAGAGAAATCAGGAAAGTAGAATATATAATAAGGTAGAAGCTAAGAAAGGGAAATAATAGGAAATAGAATAATCCTATTAGAAAACAATAAATCCCAACAAGCCAAGGCGAAAAACATGCAACCCCAAAAGTCTACTTGATATAGAATAACACTGCAAAAGCCAAAGTAAGAACAAAGAATTTGGAGAGATTTTAGAGACTTAAAATTAAGAAGTGAAGAAGAGTCAAGAAGTTCTGTGAAATAATGACCCTCATGACCAGACAGCAGTGCCTTTGTGAGTACTTAAAGTTTTAAGTCTAGAAGGTAAGATTTCATGGGCAAAAAAGGGCAACTTTTCTTTGTTTCAACTGAAGACAGTAAGAACCACCTCATTCACAGCAAAAAATTTGAGTTAAATTATTTATTTGGGGGGGGGGGTGGTTACCAACTCATGACCTTGGGCTTGACAGGCAGGTGCTTGTACCCCTTGAGTTTGATTTTTTTTTAAAATACTTCCTATCATAGTAATGAGATACTTGAGAGGGTGATCAAAACAAACTCCAAAGCCTTCTCTGAGAAAGAGGTACTTTATTAGGCCATCTGAAATGAATTCCTTACCTACTTACAGGTAAGAGAAAATATAAGGCACACTGGGCCTAGCCCAGTTGGGGGAAAATGAAGTCCTATTATACTTCCATTTTAAAAAGATGACAGCATAGAGTTTTTCTTCTTGAAAAAGAATGATAGGATTTTATAAAATTGAGAAGTACATTAGGACTATACAGATGAGCTTTGGGAACCCTAGCTTTAAAACAAATTATACTTTCTCAAAAAGTGCTCACATAATTAAGCATACATTCTACCCTAAATAAAGGCAGCCCTTCCTTGCTCTCTATACCATAACTTTACCAAACTAGATCTATCAAACCAAATGCCACTCAACTCATTTGCTGACAGTTTGGGTCAGGAAAGTCACCTACTTCCCCACAAAATAACTCCATGCCTGGAAATTAGATGGCAGCTTTTTCCTTCCTCGATCTAGAATACTGTTTTTCTTGTTTTTGATTCCACTGGAAAGACTAGCAATGTATCTAGGTAAACCAAATCCGTTGCCTTTAAGATGAAAAGCTAATAGCCTTATAAAGCCACAAGTTTCTGGTTTGTATATGAACAGCCAGTGAGATCACTGAATTATACTTGTGTATTTTCAAAATTGAGCCCTTTCTTGAGTGTACTTGTAGAACGGCAAAATATTAAAAGGCATTAGTACTTGTTTCTTTTATAGCTTATTATTTCCCACATTCAAACATTAACTATTTGACAAGAGTCCTCCTGGGAAGTGGAAGTAAATTTTGGTGCTAAACAGTTAATCTGCTCATACAATCTATGGCCAAAGCCTGTTTCTCAGGTAGCCAACCAGTAATCTAGAAAACTTAATGATGGAAGACATGAAGGCAGTTTTGAGAGGTTAAGTGAAAATGAAGAAAGAATTGAAAGTAAGCAATGAAAAACAGATTCTTCCACATCAGCAGCCAAGTTCTAACTAAAACATTAAGAGAACCTTGTAGTTTAATGGTTCTGACAAAGGTGCTTTGCTTGCTGGGTAATACATGGCAAAGAAAATAACTGCAGAAAAGGAAATATAGATGAGAAAAGAAGGAAACCCATGTACCTTCTCTGCATCAAACTTGCGAGTTTCACATCTTGATGGATCTGAGGGTCATTAAAGTCATAAAAAAAAAAAAAACTCAAGTCCCTAAATTAATAGGCTTCAATATGAAATGTATTTAATGCAACAGAAAACTGTTCCCATTTCCCACCCCTCACCACCCTAAGGCATCCCTCCCTTCCTCCCACAAAACTATAACTTGAGATGGGAACTACTGCAGGTTTAGTAAAAGGATAGCCAGCTACTTGGACAAGGGTGTTTTAAATTCAGTCTTGCCCAGAGCTTACTAGAAGTCACTTCTGATTGAAGATTTTAATAGGACTGAGAGGATGGAGTATAAAGCAAGGGCTGTGGTGACAATTTGGAATTAGATTACTTTAATTCAGTTAATAAAAGAACAAATCAAGTTTAATTTTAAATTAGTCAAGATGTTAATTCCAAGAAATCTAAAAGCAATTCATTTGTTGATTTATTTGTGTGGTGCTAATTAGATATTAAAAGGCATGCAATTATTACCCAGATCCCCATGGCCAGAGTGAAGGAAAATTGTTTCCCACCCTTCTGCACCTGGTACCTTTTCAAGTAGGCTGACACATAGGTGGAAGGAGTCGCGGTCTGTGGACTTTCACTTCCCTTTGTTTCATCCCTCCATAGCTGCCGAGTGTAGGAGCCGCTCCTCACCAGATTCACAGCTGACTCTCTGTACAGCATGAAGGAAAACAAAGCACCGGTTTCCACTACCTGTTTTGTTCATAATATAATACAAGCAGGAAGTGAAGAGCCAGTAGCAAATTGTAACTGGTAAAAGGAACATACGTCTTTTGAGTGATTGTATGTTTTTATACATATATTTTGTATTGAAAGAGGATAATATTACTATCTGCTTTCTTCTGTCAACTTGAAAGCCAACTAATTTCAACAGGTACCAAATATCTCATATCAAATCCTTTTATACTGATAAGTTACTTTTGTTCCTTTTTAAAAAGCACCTTGTAATCAGTCCCTAATAGTAGGTTGCTCACAGCTAGAAAACAGGTTGATGAGAGAGATGCAGAAAACTGTCACCATGGGAAGAGGTTACTACAAAAGGTGAAAAGCAAGGAAGACTTTCTTGGAGCCTCTTTAAAGACAGTATAAATGACAAGGCATCCAGGAAGGGCCAGTACTAGAATGTCAGATCCACAACTGATAATGCAGGGTCTTTGCTACATGGTCATGGGTCTCCAGGCTCCATAAGGTTCTCTAGAACTGTCCTTCTCAACCGTTAGTGTACATTTGAATCACCTAGGAAATTTTGTCGAAATGCAGCCTCTGACTCAGCAGTTCTAAGAATGGACTTGAGGTATTCTGGTTCTAATGTGCTCCCACTTGCTGGCAAGATGGCATGCTACAAGACCAACCTTGAGAAGAAAGGCTCTAGATAAGGCTGTGCCCTGAGATACATCAATACTTCACAATCTCTACATTCATTTTAACTGAAGATGCTTTAAATTTTACCTACTTATAAATGAAAAGTTGATCAATTCAAGTATTAACATGTTCGCATTTACTATATGGTAGATAGCATGCTACACACTAGAGGTCCTTGAGAAACCACAGACACAGACTTCCCTTACTGAGCCTGCTGTGGACTAAAATTAACCTGCACTAGAAGGGTCTGGGAAGACATTTGAAAGCCCATGATATCTAAGTCAGAATTTGATGGATGAAGAATTAGCCAGCAAGAGAGTCAGGGCTGGGAGGTATATTCTAAGGAATGAACACTAAATTTGTAACATGGTAAGGATACCTAGAGAAAAAAGCGGAGGGGAATGGTCAGGGGATCACTAAGTCAGAAGAGCTAAAAGGAACATCTCTAGTTTGTATTAGGATTACCTGTTCTCCTTTTCTTCAATGTCATTTGTGCTACTGAGCCTCCGGGGTGCAAGTGAACTAAAATAGCTTTTATTTTCTCTTTCCTGTAAAATAAAAATAAATAAACCTAGTGACATAGCATATATCATTTTGGGTAAAGAAGGAGGACCTAATAGATCCACAATAATAATACATCTGTATTCAACACTAATCCCATTTACAGTGGTATTACAAAAATTTTTTCAAAAGCTCATTCCTAATTTTTCTTCATTAAAACCCCCACATAGAGAAATAATTCTCATGTGGAAAGTCAGATAATCTAATAAAGAAAAGTGCACAAATCACACAAAGCACCAACCCTGTGGTGACGCATACCTGTAATCCCAATACTCGCAGAGGCTGAGGTAGGAGAACTGCCATGAGTTTGAGGACACCTAGGGCTACCTAGTGTGCTCAAGGCCAGCCTGGACTACAGAAAGAGGCCCCATTTAAAGAAGAAGAAGAACAATGACAACAACAAAGCAGTCTTGCCAAGAAAGAGGAGGAGCCCTTGAAAAGTCACAGAGGGCTCTACTCTACTGTTCTTTATGAAATTAGCTTGATTTAGTCTCCAGTATCCTTTCTTGAAATGCAGCTTCCTTTGAACATGCACAATAAATATATGCAGAATTAACCCAACTAAGAAGTCTCACTTCTTCCAGTAGTCTGATGAATGCAATAATTATGTAAGACAAATATATACTAATAAAAATTCTTTAAAATGATACAGCAAGAGGCCTATGACAGGGGAGGCTTGACCCAGAGAAAATCACCAAGCAAGCCTTGCAATGTCTGAAACCAAATGAATACACAGATGAACCATCTGTCATACTTCTATGAATAAAAAATTAAAAGTTCAAAACATTCAATGTTAATATATCTCAGCTTCATTAGGATCCAAAGCCCAACTAAGAAACTGCTTCTAAACATCAAAGGAGGAAATTTCTGTGATTGGTTTAAAAGAACCATTGGACCACATCCAATTTTTTCATATCCACTTTTTGGCTTTATGTAAGAGGTTAAATACAATCGAACATAAGATAAACCTTATGGTATATTTAGGAAAAGCATATTTAAAATATTTTTTTCTGTTTTGGCCAAACAGATAACTACTTGATTGAGTTATTAATGTGTCTGTCTTCCTTTAAAGTCTTTATAGTTCCACAATAAACTTAGGGACTAGAAAATACTTTATTTGTTCCCAAGATTGAGTTTTCACGAACGTAGTTTGTATTCAGATGTCCCCCCAAGGCCTCATGTGCTCATAGGTGGGGCTTTGTGAGTGACTGGATCACATGTGGACAATGGACTTATTGAAGAGGGAAGACCCGCCCTGGGTGTGGGTGGCACCAACCACTTGTAGAATGGGGTGGAATAAAAATATAAGGAAGAAGTCTCACTGCTTCTCTGCCATGTCACCCTGTCTTGGAGCCAGCCAACTATGGATTGAAACCTCTACAAATTGTGAACTAAGATAAGCCTTTCCTCCTTAACTTGTAGGTGTTAGATATTTTGCTCCAGCAACAAGAGAAAAGAAACTAAGGGGCTGGGGAGATGGCTCAGTAGAATAAGCGTTTCTTGACAAGCACAAGGGCCTGAGTTCAATCCTCGGTTCCGCAAAAAAAAAAAAAAAAAAAAAAAAAAAGAAACTAAGACAATGCAGTAAAACTGCCTTGACATTTCCCCACACCTCAAACTGCACCTTATCTTTGTTATCCAGCAGAGCAGAGATCCGAGGGCTTGAAGAGGAGCGGTAGATGGAGGAGCTTCGGTCCCTTAAAGCATCCCTGGAATTGGCCACTTCACTCAGCATGTTGTGGCTGCCAGTTTTTCTGAGTCCCAATCTCCATGAAGAAGGGGATTCATCTTTGGCCTCTTCTGGCTTGTTAAAAAGGCTGGAGGAGAACTAAGAAGGAAGAAGAAGAAACGTCCTAATGATTCATTATTTCAGCCTAGTTGCCTTTTCTACACTTAACTAGGCTTAGTGAGGCAACATAAAAGGTAGTATCAAAAGAACAAAATCATGGCAGGCCTTCTGCAAACATGCCCTCCTCACCTGGCGGGCATTTCATCACTCAAGGGTCGTCTTCTCCCTAACCCAGAAATAGCCTCAGATTCTTTTCACAGTGCTCCTACTTGACAGACTTGCTCCAAGAAATAAAATGCTATTTTCTCTCCTTATTCAATTAGTATTGACCCAGAGCACCACAAACTGTTCTGGAGAAGATGTCTTCTCCTGCCTTATTGGGTAACTGGAAATAAGATAATTTGCTTCTCTAGATCTCAATATGCTCCTCTGTAAACTGGTGTTAATGAGCCTAATTCCTCCCTAGAATATGAGGAATCTGAGAAAACAAGATAAGCTAACATACAAATATACTTAAAGATATTATGACAAAAAATACTAGAGGCCACTCTACACCAACTGTAACTGCTAATCTCAAGAAAAGTAACTTATTTGATGTTGAAAAGCAGTTCCAAGATCTTTAGATTTCACCAAACACAAAATTTAAGAAAAAAAAAAAAAGTCAAGGTCATCTTTTATTTATGGCTAGACAAAACATCTTCAAAAAAAAAAAAAAAAGATGAATATCATACCATCACAGTCATTTCATTAAAAAGAATATCAGAAAAGAAAGCTTCAAAGGTGGAGGTGTAGCACAGGGGGTATAGCACAGTGGCAGAATATTTGCCTAGGACATGTAAGGCTCTGGGTTAAATCCTCAGCACAGGAGGGGTAGGGGAGATATCTATCTATCTATCTATCTATGTATCTATCTATCTATCTATAGATATATATATATATATAGAGAGAGAGAGAGAGACAGACAGAAAGACAGAAACAGAGAGAGAGACAGAGAATATTACTGAATGAGGGAGGGAAAGAGAGAGAGAAAGCAGGAGCAAGAAGGAGAAAAAAGGAAGAGGGAGCAGAAGCTAGCCAACTTACATTGTCTTTAGTTATAAACCAAGGAAACATCATAAATTAGCTTTAGCTCAAGGACCTTTGGGGTATAATTGGTCTGTCAAGTACCAAGCAACAAACAGCCCTTTTACAAGGTGTGAGGACTTTTGCAAGGTGGTGTCAGTTGTTTTCTCAACACTAGCTATGCCATCTGCCTGGTGCAGTGAAAACACTAATGTGTTAAATCCCTCTCTCCAACTCTGATTTTCTTCGCTTCCAGCATTAGAATATAGACAATTAATTGCTCCTTCCCTTTTACAAAATTCCTGATTCCAAGAGGAACCTTTTCCTCTTTCCCAGTATCGTTCTGGTAAAGTGGAATAATTATTGTATTTTTTTAAATTTAGTATTATTTTAAAAAATAGGAACTTTGGTCACATCTGGAAGTAGTGGCAGTATATCAGGTCCAAGAAAATGTCTAGATATCAAACAAGACTGCAGTCTACCTAAAATTTGCTCAATAATGCTTCTAGAAATAAACAAGTAACCAGGCCTTGGTCCCTCATTTCCACAAGGATTCCATTAGCCCATCTTTCTAATTCGTAAGGAACTTAGAAGATCAAGTTAATATTTCTAAGATTTAACATCTCTATTTTTTATTTTTTTATTCATTTTTAATATATTTTTATTTCTTATTCTTTTATTAATTTTATTGAGAAAGAAATAGCAACGAGACAGTTTCAAAACAGGTTAGGACAGTTACAAGAATTAATACATTGCATATTGTTGTCTTCGTAGTAGTTATTCAGAGTACAAGATGCAGACAAGATATCTTGTCTAAACACTATTAGTATAAATCTTTCTTTTCATTGAACTAAGAGAAAGTAGCTGTATATCTATTCTGTCTCTAAAATCAGTGTATTTTTCAACAGCTTCATTTGAAGGAATCCAGATCTATTTTTAACCTTGAGACTAATTTTACACTTTGAGGAGCCAGGGTCACCATTCAACTTGGTCTTGCTGGTCTACAGATTCTAAAAGACATAAAGCTGGAGCAGGAAGTGTCTCTTGTATTTCAAAACTTCTTTCTATTTCTGTCCTCTACCCATCAAAGTATAAAGACTTTACTTATGAATGTGAAGTTGTAATAAGTTGAAAGAGGAAAACAGTCATCAAAATAAACCTGTATTCTGTATATCTTCCTAGAGAAGTCTAAACTTTATACCTAGTTAACTTCAGAAATGAGGAAAACAGGCAAATGACAAAATTTCTTTTGTCCCAGACTATGCTACCCTCTGTGGTCTTAACACATTTGTGGTCAGATAATTACTGATGGTTTTATAAGCCTAGGAAGCAATTATTATGGAACGCTTGTACCTCTCCAAAATTCAGATGTCGAATCCCTAACCCATATTGTGACTTAATTTGGAGAAGGGGCCTATGAGTTAGGTTATAGAGCTTAATGAGGTCAACAGGGTGGGGCACTAATCCAACAAGTCTGGTACCCTTATAAGAAGAGGAAGAAGCACCAGAGCTCCATCTCTCTCTACTATGGCAAAATGCAGCAAGAAGGCACCCTCTTCAAGCCAGCAAGAAGGCACCTCTCTTCAAAGAGAGCCATTGGGAGGAACTGAATCCACTGATGCATGTATCTGGAACTTTGCAGCCTCCAGAACTAGATTGATGATATGTAGCATTTTTGTTATGAACAAATTAAGACAGGCAAAAATATATCTTTATTGTTTTATAAGGAGGTATTATTAAGGCCTTTCTAAATGTGTTACTGCACTAGGGGGGAATGTAATACCCAAATTGATTCCAGAGTACTCACTCTCCTAGCAGAAGAGGCAGAGAAGGTATTCTGAGCTGGAGCTGGTGTCTGCTCTGTGCTACTACTCTTGCTTTCAGAATTGGAATGATTGACAGTGGCTTCAGGCTTTTTATCTGTTAAGAGAAGCAATAAGTATAAGTATGAAAATCTTACTTTTGTGTATTATCTTTCACAGATAAAAGAAAAGGTTTTCTCACTGTCAAAACAGAGAATCAGGGCCGTGTAATAACTTAATTCAAACTAGAATGAACTCTAGCAATTGTGGGCAAAATAAAATAAAATCAATGGTTTTCTCTTCTTGGTATGCCCCACACTCAATTTTCAGATGAAAACAGAAAACTGTCTCTACATTTTTACTTATATATAAAATTCATTAGTAAACTACTTGTGAAGTCCATTCTATGTTTTAGGAGAGCTGGGAAAGAGTGACAGAAGAAAAAGATAGACCTCATTTTGACGGTAATTGCAATTAAGAGAAAGAGATAAGACACACTGTAAGAATAACACATAATCATATACGTTTCAGGTATCGAATTGGTTGATTCAGGACAACAAGTACTATTAAGATTTCAGAAAAGAGGCAGATCCTCTGAGATAGGAAACAATAAGGAGAGCTGCTACACAGTCAGTGATTCCAGAAAAATGAAACTGGAGGCAGCTGGGAGAAAATACCAACCAGCAGGTGAGGAGGAAGAAATGCCATGGATAATGGCTCAGAAGTCAAAATACATACTCTGTTGGTCAGTGAAATGGCCAACAGATTCCAAATAATGAGAACTCTCAGGGTTATGATAGCAAATAAAGATAGTAAAGTTTATAAGGATTACAGGGCCAAACCAAAGTCACATAACAAATAGTAGTCATCCAACTGAGTAGGATCACCAATCAGAAAGCTGTCTATTGTGCTTATTATTACCTACTAAATAACTAGCACAGTGCCTGCACCTACTGGGTTCTGGTTCTAGTTTATGTACTCTGAAAACAAAGCCCTAGAGTTATCTCTCCATGAATTATATGACAATTTTAAGCCACATTATGTGTGACACTGGGCAAGATATTTATCACATTTGAATACCTATTCTCACATAGTAATCAGAGATTTTAATTCTTGCCTTGTGAGAATTTGTTATGGTCAGGGTTTAAAAAGGAAAAGACTGAATACAAGACACATAATTGATAGCATTATTTTATAACATTCATCCAAAAAGTCAAATGCAAAAAAAGTGGGAGATCTGCCCATATACGATAGACCCAAAGAATCCAGCTGAGGGCCCAGGATCCCATGGCAATATTCTGTACGAGTCCAGCTGAAGACCTACAGCCCATGGCAATGTCCTCCACAACTCTAACTGGAAGCCTAGAAACAACAATGTCTCATACAAATCTATCAAGGATCTTCACTGGGAAGGCCCAGGAGTCAGTGGTGGAAGCTAGAAAGTCTGTGCCAGTGGGATGGATGATCGGTGCCAGCAGGCTGAGGTGAGTGACCTTCTACTGGAGCCAGGAAGCAACACTTAAAGTAAGGACCAGAGCTCCCCCAAAGAGAACCACAGTCATCCTCAGTGACAGTGAGGACCTAAGCTACTCTGATGATAAGCGCAGCTAAGTTCGTATCAGGAAGACTAGTGTGACAAGCTTCTCCAGGAGAATAAGGACACACCATCTTCTCCTCCAGTTCTACTTTTATGCTGTTGGCAACAGTCCGCAGGCAGGCCTTCCACATCCAGCACCATGCTGATCAGTTCAACTGGGTGTTACAGGCTGTTTTCTAGTTGTCAATCCAACACAAAACTGGTATAAAAATTAGAGGCGTCTTAAAATTTGCATAGCTTACTGGTCAAAGCAAGTCCCCTGTGTTTTTATACTTGTTATTATGAATATTCAAGGTATTCTTGAAATACTGTTAGAATATCTATAGCTTCAAGAAATCCAGTTTACTACCCAAATGTGGTAGATTATTATAATAATAGCTCCCAACAAATCACACCTCCCTGACTCTAAAGCACTGTAAAGTGTCTTTTTATAATGACTCTAAGTTTGGCTTGGTGACTTGCCATTGCCAATGGACCATTAGTATATGTGATACAATTAGAGGCTTGGACAGTACTTGTACACTGATATTTGCCTTCTCTGTTCCTAGATTCCAGCTGCCATCTGAAGTAGCTATGCTAGCCTGCTTGATGATTGGAGACATGGGGCCCACTTGCCCTACACATCCTAGCCAACCACCAGCAGGTGAATAATGTCATCTGGTTCCAGCCATCCCCTCACTTGATTTACCAAGTGATCATGCAAACATGGATGAGCCCAGCATTACCATGAGGAGAAATACAAGCCATCCATCTTTGCAAATTACCAATCTATAGAACTCAGTGCACATAAAGTTATTTTAAGCCACTAAATTTGGGGATAGATTACTATGCAGCAGCAGATAACTGATACATAAAACATTTAAGTCAAATGAAAAGAGAAAACAAGTTCTAAATCAAATCTTTATATTAACTTCAAAATACAATTCATGGGGCCGGGGATATAGCTCAGCAGCATAATCACCTGCCTGGCAAGCACAAGGTCCTGAGTTCGATCCCAGATATTTTTTTAAAAAATCATATTCTTCACTATAAAACTTACATGTAAGAAATATGATGTCTCCCTAGTGTAAGAACTCAAAAGAAATAAAAACTGAAAGGTAAAACAAACACAGTTAAATAGAAATTAACAGAACTTTATGACTCAACAATGAAGAGAGAAAAAGGAAGAAAGATAGGAAATAAGGTAGAGACAGAAACCATACATGTATATATACAAGATGACTAAAGCAATTGTCCCAAGAATTTCCATCAGTCTTTTAAAAATAACAGTTAATGGGTAGAATTTACACCTTGACTAACTCTCCATGATGATATCTGTGAACTAGGCAACTACACTGAGAACAGCAATATGTAATACTAAACCATGCTTGAAATACCTGTCATCTTGCTCTTCTAAATGTGTATAGTTTCTAATGTCATATTAACTATTCCTATACTCTCTTTAAAGTAAATTTTTTTAAAAAAGGTAATAAAAGAAAATAAAAGATAAGAAAAAAAGTTAAAGACCAATAGAAAAAAAAAGAAATATAAAAACTATCCATCTTATGACGTTATATATGTGGATCTTTAAAAATGAGGGGCCGGGGAGATGGCTCAGTACAATAAGTGCTTGCCTAGCAAGCGCAAGGGCCTGAGTTCAATCCCCGGTTCCACAAAAAAAACCCAAAAAAAAGGAGATAACATATCCAACAAATATCTGTTTAGTACACAGATATGTGACAGGAAACATCTGGAAAAGTTTATGTAACCCACTTCCTTGCACTTTTCCAATTTACTGAGCTCCTACCAAGCAGAGGCCTTGTGAAAGGACTATGGCATACAAAACGGTGAACAAGACACACAATACATTCATATGCTTCTACAACTTGCCAGTGGAGAAGAACAGAAGAATGAGAAAAATCAAATTACTCAAATACTAAGCAGCATTTAAAAATTATATAAAACAATTTCAAACAAACATTTACAGGAAACAGGAAAGGAAAAACCTGCATGCACTTATATAGAGGCTTCCTAGAAACTGACTTGAGCTGGGTTTGGGGACATGAATAAAATTTCAGTTGGCAGAGAACTACAGAAATGAGTAGGGAAGCTTACTGAAACCAGCTGGCTTCTGCCCACACCAGGCGACTGAAACTGCTCTCTAGGATTACGAGTAACTTCCTAATTGCTGATTCATCCTTAAGCTCTCCCATCTCATGACTGCTCTGGCTTTTCTGAGGCAGAAATGTATATCATGGTTTTTCTCAACCTCTCTGACCTCTCTGATCATATTCTTCTTTATAACCTACATTGACTCCACTTCATTTCCTAGACACGGTATTCCCAAGATTCTTTTCCAGTTTTTTCTCTGCAAACTCTCCCTTGATGATCTCATCTTTCCCCACGGTTTTTACCTTCCACTTCTTAAAAAAAAAATCTCCCCAGATACCCTACTATTCTGAGGAGTCCCAGATCAAAGTCAGAATCTCAGGCCTGCCTCAGGCTGGCTATGAAACCTAATTCTCCCAGCCTTCTACAGAGTCAATTTCCTATTCTAAAAGAGGTGGGTGTTTATAAGGGTTAAATAAAAATGTTTAAGTGCACTGCAAAATGAAAAACACTACACAGATATAAAGTTTTATTACAATTCCCTGAACTAGATATAATCTTTCTTGTTCATGAATACCATCGACAGCATTTAGCTCTTTCAAACAACATGTATTTTATACACATAGATACTTTTCTATTCCCCTAAGATATATAACAACAACAACAACAAAAATTAATGAATGTGACTATCTGTCACATGCCAGGCATTGTGCTAAGACCTGGAAGTATAATAAACCCAGTGATCTAGACAAATGAGCCTCAGCTTGAACCATGAAGGAGGGCAGCAGTTTCCCATGATTGAAAGAAACTGTGTCAGCAAAGTCAAACTGCATCAGAAGCTGAGGCTCAGACAAAAGAGTAAATATCTTTATAATGGGTACGCCAGCTATGGCAGAGTTCAGGAAAAAAACCACAGACTCCATTATAAATTTAATGTGCAACCCTTCTCCTCTAATTTGGTCTAGCTGGAAACATTTCATCTTGTTACTGACACAAATCTAAAGGTATAATTTGCCAGCAAGTGAAGGACATGTGTGCTATAAAACCTTAACCATCATCACTTTTCATGCATCTATGAGAACTGTTCTGTTTCAGCTGAAAATTTATTTAGTAACATGTAGTATGTATTTTTCAGTGTTCCTCTATGTTAAAACCTATGATCTATTTTATAGCTTATTCACCTAACCAAGCTCAGTGCTTAATGCTTCATATTCACTGTTAGCGTTTCAGTCTTGTCAAATAATAAACTTAAGAAGCTCCAGATGATGTACAGTCAGTCCTTCATGGGTTCCACATCCATGGATTCAACTAACCAAGGACTGAAAATATTTGGAAAAAACTGCATCAGTATAGAATACATACAGTTATTTTTAATTTTCATTATTACCTGAACAAAAAGTTTGATAGCTATTTATTCACTTGGTAGTTACATTAGTTATTACAAGTAAACCTAGACATTATTTAAAGTATACAGGGGCATGTGATAGGTTATATGCAAATACTATGCCATTTTATCTAAGGGACCTGAACATCTATGATTCTGGTATCTGTGGGGGGGTCTTAAAACTAATCTTCCATGGATACAGAGGAACAACTACATATGGTCTCAATAAGAGTATTAAAGGTTAATATGATCTTATTCCTTCATACTCCAGAAACTAAAGAAACTTTACATGAGGAGTGAGTAAAAGGAGCAGGAGGAAAACAAAAAGGAAAAAGAGATTTTAGGGTTCTATTTAGGGAAGCAGACTAACCCCAAGAACTCAACACCAATTTCCACAAATTTGTTACAAGTTTTTGACCAAAGGTAACTTTGCATTACTTTGCTCTCACTATTCTTTTTGGAGTCTAGTCATGTGCCATCTACCAGTCCAACTCAGCACACCTGACCTCCCGGCACAAGATTTCTCTGTGCACCTTATCACATGGCTGCACGGGAACTCGTATATTCTAACCTAGCTCACAGCTTTATAACCAATTAGCAATCTGACAATTTATCCTTGAAAACTGAACTTTGAACTCTTTTGACAGCCCTCTGTGGCTCTCTAATAAGCAATGAAAATGGAACATCTCTGCTGTGAACATCTTTGCATTACCTGCCTCCTTCTCAGTTTCTGACTCAGAAGCTTCATCTTCACCTTCCTCTTCCTCTGAACTGGAGCTACTGGATTCTTTGTTTTCTTCCTCCATTTCTTGGGATTTCAGTGTCTCTTCCTCATACAGCATCTTCTCTTTGCTAAATTAAAGATAAAATTTGAATGCACGTCTGAAGTGACAAACCACTTATGTTCAATGACAATCAGCTACGATACAGTAAATCAATCTATAAAGTTGTATGTAGAAGCAACTGCAGAAACATTCAAATCCTCTTCGATATCTATGTGTTATTCTGTACACTGTTTTTTTCCAGATTAAGATTTAGTTTTTTCAGGGTATGACTTGAGATGGACTTAGTAACCCATAACAGTAATCTCAACTACTTGAACGGCTGAAGCAAGGAGACTGTAAATCTGAAGCCAAACTAGGCAACACAGTAAGAGAAAGATCACAAGTTTGAGGTCAGCTTGGGCATTAAACAACTTACCAGACTCTGTCTCTATTATGGGCTACTGGACTCTTTTAGAATATTTTGCTGAGTTTACACACCTATAATATTCAAATAACAGAACTTAACAAAAAAAGGGGATACAGATGAATGTCCATTTTGTATCTGTGTATTCAGAGTGGTTAGGATAGATATATAGTTACATTCTCTTAATGAATAGAGGGATTTGTTTTAATGGTGTTTGTAAATAGGATATCATGTCCACATCTTGTACAGCAATTAACCACTAGGAAGAATGTATGCAATGTTTTAATTATTGAAACTGTCCTACCAATTTGGTTTGAAACTCTCATTGCTATTTGTTTCTCAATAAAATTATGGAAAAAAATAACTACTATGAAGATAACAATATACAATGTATTAATTATTGTAACTGTCCTACTGACCTGTTTTGAAACTGTTTCATTGCTATTTCTTTCTCAATAAAATTCATTAAAAAAATAAAATATTAAAATAAAACAAAAAAAATTACTACTTTCTCAATAAAATTAGTATTAAAAAATAAAATAAATAAAAGGACTTGGAGATGTGGCTCAGTATGAAGGCCCTGGGTGTAATCCTTAGTGCTCCACCACCACCACCACCACCACCACACAGACATAGAGAATATGGCAGAAGGAGATAGGGCCTGGTTATCTTACAGGGAAAACTACAAATTAGAAAACAGGGGCAGATAAATATTTTTGAAAATCATTCAACAAATATTTACTGAGCACTTTCTACCTGCCAGCAATCATACTAGGCACTGATATAACAGAGTCAGTAAGATGGACATGGTTCCTGGGCTTATGGAACACACAACATAGTAAAGAGAGCAAAAGATACCAAGAATGCCCATAGTAGGACAGAAGAAATGCTGCATACATACAGCCTCAGTTAACTTTAAATTTAAATCATATTCAGGTGTCTTCAGTGCTTCCTCCCCATATCAATGCCATCTCCTTTCTCACAAACTTTCTTTCATGTGTGAAGGTCATTTGGCTAAAGTCAAACAGTTTCTTCATTTTACAAATTCTTAATATCTTCTATATAGCCAAGCTCATCCACCCCTCAAGCCTAAATATCTTACTTCTTAAAGAGTCCACTGTGCAACTTGCTGTTCAGGCCTGATTCAATGAGCTTATTCCGTGTTTCCTTTTCACTTCGAAGCTAGAAATTGAGAAAACAAAAAAAAAAGGAAGTAGTTGACTGCTGGTGAGAAATCAGTAGTACTGAGAAGCAAAAAGATACCATCATTATGAAAAAGATAGGATCAACAGTGAAGAGGGGTTAGGGAAACTGAGGAAAACAGAATCACATCAGTTGACTCTGTAGAATAAAATGCCAGAAGAAAAATCCTCATCCAAGGTAGAAGAGAAAAGTCAGTGTTGAAGCATTGAGAAAGCTGCCTAGTTCAAATACCCAAGCTGAATATTGCAAAAAATCCAAGCTTCTGTAATTCCAAAAACCCAGCAGGAATTTGGAATTTGTTATGATCCATTTAGTGAAATAAGCTGGAAATAGTTCTAAAGGAAGCATAGGTACGAAATAGTAAATAAGTCCCTAGAGAAAACAGTCTGATATTTAGGTACACACTCTACACAAAATGTGTTTATAACCCTGGAATCTAAACTTATGCAGTATACAAGGATAAATATCATTCCTATTAGTATAAAAATGCTATTTAGTAAAAGTGATATTGACATTAAAAACTGGGCTGGGGAGACAGCTCAGTGGCATAAGCACCTACCTGGCAAGCACAAGGTCCTAGGTTTGCTCCCTAGTACTACAAAAAAACCCACAAAAAACAAAAAACAAAAAAACAAAACTAAATATACTAGACTAACAATATATAGGCACTCTACTATTTTTTTAAATTTCTATGTAAGCCTAAAAATTATTTCAAAATAAAAATTTTCAATTAAGGCTATAAAAGAACACATACAAAAAACTACATAAAATATATATCTTGAATTAAGAAGGCTGCTACTAAACAAAACTACTACCATAATACTATAATTAGAAAGTCTCAGCTTTCAGTAATTCCTGATTATTTAATAATGAAAACCAGATGAGCTAGTTTTGTTTCAGTTTTATATATCCGACTTTCCCACTGAGTTTTGAGTACCAACAATCTTTGCTTTACTATCCAGACATTAGCTAAACATACCCAAGGTTAGAGATGGTAGACTTTTCCCAGCTTCCTAATTTTCTGACTCAGAACTGTCTTATATCCTACATTTGTCCCAAACTTAAGTTCATATACCTTGTGCCAAAGCACATGGAAAGGAAAAAAAAAAAAAAAAAAAGGCCAGTGACTGGGAAGGAGGGCATCCTATCCTGTGGTTGAATTTTATTCTCCTCACTCAAATTATTTATCTTTTTTTATGGGTAGAAAATGTGACTTATTCACTCTTCATCTATGTAGTGAGAGGTTATTTCCCGTTCGACAGCCTATACATGGGAACCACATTTACACAGGTCTCCTACAGAGCATTGGGCGAAACAGCACATGCAACAAGACAGGAAGATTTAAAGTAAGGAGGAGGGAGAAGAGGACATAACTCTGGATGGTTGACGAATCTGGAATGAATATAAATTACTGATGAATAAAAAATGATAAACTTTAGTATGGTGTTTGTTAAGAAAGACATTTATTCCTCTTTGTAATCAATCTGTTTTAAATAAAAAATATTCCGTTAGTCAATTAGCAAAGGAAAATACGCTATGGTGTTCTTTATTCTGGTACTTCCTATTTGGAAAAAAAAATCTGACTTGAATATATTCACTTCTAGAATTCAAGGATTATCACCAGTTTCTGTTCTTGCTAAGCAGCTTGAAAGCTAGCTTATAATACGCAAATTTTAATAACAGGGTTTCCAGGATGCTTCCTTCTAACAGATTGGTAATAGTTCCTCAATGAAATAACTTACAATTCGGGAATAAAGATATATCTAGTTCTGCGCTCAGCAAACATAATTAAAGCAAGCGTCTAAGAAACCTAGTGCGGAATGCAAACTCCTGGAAAAACTTTAAAAGCATTGACCAGAGACTCACCACATTCTGCTTCTTCTGAAGCATCTCCAAGTGTTCCACAAGACTCTCATCAGCCACATCAAATGGCGTCTGGCCCTAGCAGAGAAAGGGGGGACCATGACTGACAGAAAACAGTAGCAGTGCTCACATGACTTTAACAGGAATGCCTCAATATTTACTTTCTGTCTTTGATTCTACTGATATAGAATAACCTTCATTCAAAGTGCTTGGGGCTAGAAGTGTTTTGGCTTTATTCAGATTTTGGAATCTCCACAGAGATATAATGAGATATTATCTGGACAATAGACCCATTTTTGTATACATTGTATGCAAACAAACTGGAAAAGAAAAACAAAGGACTGAGGATTCCAAGTTCTAGTGGCATGTCTGTCCTTCATGTGTTTTGTGGCCTTGAGCAAGGCATCAGCTTTTCTGTTTATTTTTCTCAACTGGCAAATGAGGATCATAGTATCTATTACATTTACCTCAAGACACTGTTGGGAAGTTAAAATCATTCAACATGTAAAAGCCTTAAGAATGAAATTTGGGCTCAGGACCAATAAAAGGCAGCTAAGAACATCTAATTAAAAGACCAAGTCTCTGGATTCCTGCAAAATCAAGAGGCATAAGGGAGAATTGTACGGGCCTATAAATTGCTTGAAGTGATCTTTGAAACTGAAGAATCTTTGTTGCTGTAACATTTTTTAATGACTTAATGTGAATAAAATTTATCATTAAAGGACTTTGCATTGAAAAGTAATAAAATTGTTCAGAACTTATTAAAGATTATGACCTTAAGTTTCTTAGATTAACCAAAGCTCATTTTTTATGAAGGAAAACCATCTTCTATTTTTATCCTATTTGTTTGTTTTAGGGGCTTCAGCATAGAATCATACGACTAGGTTAGTGGAGTTTTTTCATAGCAAACATGTCTTTCTGTTAATAGCAGAGATGGGGGTCAGGTGGTAGAAGGCAATATCATAGCTACCAGTGGTGTATTTTTCCCTACAGTAGTCATCTGACATTAAACAGAGGCTCTAGGCTTTTTGTACCAAGAACTAGGCCACAATCTCACACTAGAAGTACAGGCTCACTAACCAGTTTGTTGCAAATATCCATGTCACAAAGCGCTTCTGCCAGGATGGAGCAAGCCTCCTTCACTCCCCAGTGTGCAGCCGCATGGAGGGGAGTCCAGCCATCATGATCCTGAACATTGAGTTCATAGCCAGCCTGAATTAAAAGTCTAAGAAGAAAACCCCAAATAATATACTTATCTCCTTGATTTCATAGTTTCTGTCTTACCAAATAAGCTGTTTAACATTTATTCCTGCCCTATACAGCATAACTCCAGTTTCATAATTACTACTTTGAATACCAATCAAACATCATTACCAATCCCCTCCAAAAGATCACACAACATGGTATTTCCTATATGTGTCCATGTTATAACAATAAAATGGGTGTGTGGGGACAGCTATATAACTGAGATTAACCAAAGCCTAATTCAGCTAGCCAAAGCACACAACTCTACCATAGAATATGTTTTCTATTTTTCAATAAAGGGAGAAATTAACATATAAAATGAAGATTTACATCTTCAGGGTTATTTCCCAAACTAGCTTTCTGGTTAATCTGACACATTACATGATTATTGTAGAATCTCAAAACTCCAAGTTTACAAATATTATCTGCAGAGTACTCATGCAAACTATAAAGCTATAGTATGAATGTCAAGCTCAGGTAGATGTGGAGTTCAACACACTGCCACATGTACTAGAAATTCTATATTAGTGCATAGTATGAATGTCAAGCTCAGCTATATGTGGAGTTCAACACACTGCCACATGTACTAGAAATTCTAAATTAGACAGAATATAAAGGACTCCAGCAGCAAGTACATTTACACTGCTTTTAGCAACCAATGTGTTTGAGAAAGCCTGTCCACATTAAGCACCAAGAGCTACACAAAGTATGTATGGATGCAAGGAAAAAAAGAATAGATAAAGTAGTGAAGTCCAAATCCCTCATGTGAATTTGACTATGCTATTCCAGGTGAACACTGCACAGTCAAGGTCTATAGAATTGATCTAATGAGCCAAAAAAATTACCTAAGTTAAAAAGGACAAAATAATCACCAGTATGTCCTATATTACAGATCACAAGAAGAAAAGGTTGTAGGGAAATTAATGACAAGTTCAGAGGGGAGAGAGGTTACTTCAAACCCATTACACCTCAAGTCTATTTCACATCATACATGTTAGAGAGAGGCTACCAGGGTAGTAGGAGCGAGGTGGACTATCCACAATACGTGAGGAAAAAAACTTGTATGATCAGAGAGGAAATTAACAACAACAACAAAAAAGAAAAGACATCATATTGAAAAGTCTAATTTACTCTCTGTTTCCAAAATTTATCTCTTCTCCAAGAAAGCCAAAACTGCTTCATGTAAATGGACAATACCTGAGGACTTCAGCGTAGCCCTTGGCAGCAGCCACGTGGAGGGCTGTAGCCCCTGAGCGAGCCTGCCTCACATCTTCTATCTTCCCACTGTTGAGCCACTGGCGGGCATCTTGTAACATCTGCTGCTCTTCTTCCTTTCTTGACTGTTCTAGATCCACTCCTATAAAAGCCAGACACCAGACAGCCAGCATTATTATTAAAGTTCCACATAAGCCTCACAAGATATTTCCTTAGATTCAAAACACATCATAAATATAACCACAAATAACAATTTGGACAAGTTGAACATTATCATCAAGTTGGACATTATCAAATTTAGAAAAACAATGGCATTTGTACATTAGTAGTCTTAGTAGGGTTAAACTATCAGGCTAAATATTATGTGATGCAGTCCCATGAAGGGAACAAAACTAAAACTGTTTGCAATAGAACATAAAATCAAGGGGGCCTGCCCCTTAGCTCAGTTCTTTAAGTGCCTGCTTCAACAAAGCCATCAGGCTCAGGTTGCTGTGGTTCAATCCCCAGCACTCAAGCTAGCCAAACCTGCCCTGAAGGCATTCTGAGCCAGCAAAAAAAAAAAAAACATAAAATCAGAAGAGGAAATATTTTACTTCATAATATTTGTACAATGCTATAAATTTCAAAGTCCTTTTACATGTTAAATGATTTTAGTTTCCCAACAGTGTTTTGAGGTAAATGTAATATATACTATGATCCACATTGCCAGATGAGAATAATAAACATAGAAAAGTTGGTGCCTTGCTCAAGGCCACAAAACACATCAAGGACAGACATGCCACTAGAACTCTGGAATCCTCAGTCCTTTGTTTTTCTTTTCCAGTCACTATACCTATATGAGGATATGAAAAATCTTAGTTTCAGATATGATGTACTTTTAAAAACAACTACCCCTGAAACTTTTTTCTACATATATATAAAAGCACTAACCCTGAAAGCTATGTATAATCAGTAATACAGGAGTGAGTGATCTACAACTTAAAAACCAGTCTACTTTCAAGGAGACATAAATTTTTTTTCCCAAAAAAGGATCATGGAAGTCAGAAGTGGTGGTGCATGCCTATAATGCCCAGCTACTCAGGAGGCGAAGGCAAGAAGAATGCGAATTTAAGCCCAGTCTAGGTATTATGGGGGGGGGGGATCTTGTCCCTCCCCCCAAAAAAAATTATAGAAAAGACTAAGGAGGTAGCTCAGTGGTACAGTAGTTGCCTAGTATGTGCAAAGCCCTGAATAAAATCTCTCATAGTGGGACACCCCCCAGCTGCCCAAAGAGCAGCATTATGAAGGGACTCTGAGGGTTCCTCCCTTGAGCCAATAACGTTCCAATGATGACAGGCTAAAGTAGGAGCATTCCTCACTATATAATATAATAACATGTTCCAAACACAAAGCATACCCATTCAAAGAGTATTTATGCCCATTAGCAGTCTTTATATTTGATCTGTTACCTCTCAGCTTTTAAATAAGAACCTGTGAATTACTTATGGATTATCTGTCTAATCTGGGGAATGGATGGGATGAAGAAACCTACTTAAAACACACCAGAACTCCACACACTGAAGAGTTCACAGTGCTGCAGAGACAGGCATACGTAGGAACACCTGCTCTAGTATAGCATGTGTCTTAACTGAAAAGTCAGCCAGCAAAACAGAAAAGGTAGATTCTCAAACTAAGACCATTTTTAAAAACTAGTTAAAATACATGATTTTCTAAACCTAAATATGTATCTCAGGAGATGAAACTAAGTGAGACAAGAGGGTAAACCAAGCACAAAAGTCTCCAATCCAATAAGGCACAAAAAAATTATATACAGAAGGCAACAAAAACAACAGCTGTTGTGGCCGGGGAGATGGCTCAGTGGAACAAGCGCTTCCCTGGCAAGCTCAAGGGCTTGAATTCAATCCCCGGTTCTGCCAAAACAAACAAACAAACAAACAAACAGCTGTTGACACTATTTTAAGGTAAGCTCCATGTGTTTTCTATAAAGGGCCAGATATTACATATTTTAATAATTTGTATGCCAGTCATTTGATCTATCAAAACTAGTATAAACAGCCCTCAGTATGCCAAAGAATCACATCAAGAAGGGCCACTGGAGCTAAATCCTTCAAGATTAACCACAAATTGTAGATAAAATTGTTTAGCAGTGCCCTCCCCACTAAATCACTGCAACTCACCTACAGAGTTCTGTTTTGGTTTCAGCAGAATTCCTAAGACCTGTCTTCCCTGCTTTTATTTTAGACTGAAAGAAAGTAGGGGCCTCTACTAAGAGAATCCTATCATACTCCCTGAAATGAATTCTTCCGAAAGTACAAAGAAAGAATAAGCATTACTAAAGTAATGGATGTTATCTTCTGCTAATGACATATATATTCTTCTAAATTCCATTCATCATCATAATAAATTCACAGTAATTTTCATGGTTAGTATAGTTAAAGATCATTTCAGAGTTTACAGTATCTTTTTTTTTTTTTTGTACCAGGGATCGAACTCAAGACAATGCACTTGCCAGGCATGAGCTTAAGCTGCTGAGCTATCTCCCTGCCTACAATAAGTATCTTTTTTTTTTTTTTTCAGAACCGGGGAAAAAAAAGTTTCAAAAAGTTTTTGAACTCAAATCCTTGCATTTTCCAGTCAAGCGCTTATCCTATTGAGAAATCTCCCCGGCCCCTACAGTAAGTATCTTTATAAGCACCATTTTTAGTTTTCTTCAAAAATAAATGATACAGGGGGGCCGGGGAGATGGCTCAGTGGATTAAACGCTTCTCTGGCAAGCGCAAAGGCCTGAGTTCAATCCCCTGTTACGCAAAAAAAAAAAAAAAAAAGAAAGAAAGAAAAGAAAAAGAAAAAAATAAATGATACAAAGTCACAAAAATAAATTAATGAATATGGTCATGCCATATCCCATTTATTTCTTTGGATCCTGAGTGTATAAAATCCAACTAAAGTGCACACAGTAAGAACTGTGGCCATCCCTCATCAGGTCACCCCAATTATATAATTAGGCATATAACCTCAAAATGGCATTTGGTGTATTCACGTGTGATTAAAAGGATCTGTGATATCAAGAACCAATAATTGATGCTGTGCATTTAGAGTTAAACCTTTCCTGTCCTGTGATGATCAGAAAGTCTACACAGGGAGCGGACTGTGTGCTGTAAGGAGTGGTGCTACAGTCTCCTCTAGCTCTGCCAATTTCCTGGGTTACCTTGCTTCTTCACTTGTTCTAGAAGAAGATCCTTCATAGCCGGCTCTTCTGCAAGGTCAGAGGGGACCTCACCTTCACTGTTCACCATACCCACACTTGCTCCATGGTTAATGAAGTACCTACGCAACAAGACCCAGGATACAATATTATTTCTCAATCTAATACAAATTTATACTTGTGCACCTGAAGTTCACTGTGGAGCAGGGACCTATCTGGAGATTTAAATATGGTCCTGATAAGGTAATGTAGTCAGGGTTTACAAGGGAATGTATAATTTATAGTTATTTTATAGCATTCACCCAAAGAGTGAAATGCAAAAGAGTGCAGGAGATCTCTCCACATACTAGAGACCCAAAGAATCCAGCTGAGGGCCTAGAGCCTATGGCAAAGTCTCATGCAAATCTGTATTAGGGATCTGCACAGGGAAGGCCCAAAGATCAGTGCTGGAAGCTAGAGAGGCTGTGCCAGTGGGATGAAGGGTCTGTGCCAGCAGCTGAGGGATGTGCATCGCAGCCAGGAAATGATGCTCAAGATAAGCATCCTGATCCTCAGGAACAGGGAAAATCTGAGCTCCCCCAATGATGAAAAGAGCTGAGTTCATATTTGGAAAACCACAGTACTTCTCTGCTTCTTGGAGAATCAACAGCATACCATCTTCACCTCCAGTTCTGCTTTTATGCTGTTAGCAGCAATCCTCAGGTGAGCCTTCCACACCCAGCACTATGCTGATTCAGTTAGTCTGGGTATTACAAGTTGATCATTAGTTAATCTACCACAGGTATTTAATTTCCAATGCCCTTAGCTTTTAATCATTAGGATGGGAGGTTTCTCTAGTTCCTGGCAAATGTAATGTCAACAAGATTTCTTTCATATCTGTATTCCTATCCCCTACACTTTCACTTCCAGGAAGTATCAAAACACTCTGTAAATCCCATAGTGAAGGCATGTAGCCCTTAAAACTCACCTATTCCAGAGGCACAGATTCCCAAATGGACCTACTGCACTTAGAATTCTAGGAATGAAAGCAATCCCTTAGGAATTATGTAAATAATTACTTCTCATAAAACATTCCTGGTGCTACCCTAGAGGTTATTAAGTAGTGTTCTGTGGGTAAAAAGAATAAAGTATGTATTAAAATTTACATGAATCCTCCTAAATTATACCTCCACAAAACTCTTCAATGGCTATCTTCTTTAAAATTTCTGTACTCTTGGGGGAAACCAGATCACTGAAGAAACATCAAAATGCTAGCTAGGATCTAAATCCACACAGAATACTCGACCTTAAAGAAGGAATAAGCTGATAATTTTAATAACTTACATGGATCCCTTTTATTTTCAAGGTACGATCACAAAAAATGATATCCTATGTCTTAGGCAAGATTATGAATAAGCAGTGTGGGTACTGTTATTCCCTATATATACACTTTAAGAAACTGAGTTTCACACACAGTAAGTCATTTGCTCAAAATCACACAACTGACAAATGGCGAAGGCTATCACTAGTTTTTTGGTTTTTTTTTTTTTTTTTTTGCGGAACTGGGGGTTGAACTCAGGCCCTTGTTCATTCTACTGAGCCATCTCCCCAGCCCCTATCACTAGTATTTTGAACAAGTCTAGTTCACCTTGTCTCTAGCTCAAATTGTTTCTGGGTCAGTGAGTATCTCAATAATTCTGAGAATTCTAAAAAATATTCATTCAGAAATATTTAAAGGGGAAAGAAAAGTTATACATATTCTCCTTTAATCCATTAACAATTTCATAAATATTTAGTTTTCCACCACTGTGTTCAAAGAAACATATTTTAGGCATTATAGGATAATTTAAAAATATATATACAGCCACTTTATTCAAAGAATCGATAGAGGAGAAAGAATAAAAATTAGATTAAGACCATGTGTTTTCTTTCTCAGTGTCTAGAACTTGGTATAACAGAATTCAAAAAATGCTTGTTAATTCATAGGTCAATTTCACAACAGAAAGCCCAAAGGCATTCACAGTTCACCTACTCTTCAACTATTTTATTCTTCGCCTCACAATCTTAGAGGATGAAATACCTTTTTCAATTTCAAAATAAACTCCTTCTATCTGTATTCTCAAATCTATCAAAGACCCCTTCAATACTCCATAATTCAATAGTTCCTCTCTTCTGGTTCCTTCCCTTCAGGCTAATGGAACATTTAACTACACCTCTCTATCCTCCCCCAAACAAAATACAAATAATATACACTGCAAACACATAATAAATGTTGGTTGGATCAAACTGTATATTCTAATCAAAGGAATCATTTACTAGCTAAAATATACCATACTTTCATTCAGAATTTCTCCTTAGTTCAAACTGTCTCCTGTAACTGAACAGAACATATTTTTTTGTCTTTTCTCTTGTAGATATCTTCAACATCTTTCAAGATCCACTTAAAATACTTTTGTCTTCAAGAAACCTTTGCCATCCTAGCCCTCAACACTAATTCTGGACCTCTGTCATGACATACACTACACTCTAATGTAACCACTCTACTACTTGAAACTATCAGAAGGCAACAACTGTGTCCTCCTTGCTGTTATCACTACCAGGGTATCTGGCACTTCTTTTTCTCCTAGAATTCCATACATACTGTTTTAATTAAATGAAACTATCTTTAGCTTTTTGCTCTAACATCTACCCATCCATTGCGGATCAAGCCACAATGTCACTTGGGTATTGTTATGGTTGATTCATTGTGTCAACTTGAGAAGTTTAGAAGCCTAAGTAAGTAACTCGGCAGGGGGCCAGAGTCCGTACTTTGTAAACATCCTGATCTGTGCAAAAGGAGGGCACAGAAATGGCATGAGTGCTATACCTGCCCAAGGAGCAGGTAGCTGGCATACAATAGAAAGGAGGAAAAGAGGCTTGCTCCTCCTTTTCTGCTCTTGTTTTTGCTGTCTTCTGCTACCTTGAGCAATTGCCCCTCACCATGCTACCCTGCTTTGGAGCTGATTATGGACTGAAACCTCCACAAACTGAGTTAAATAAACCTTTCCTTTCTTAATATTGGGTGTCAGGTATTTTGTCTCAGCAATGAGAGAAAAGTAAACAACAAAGGTATACAGGCCTCTATTTTTTCCTTCTCTGACATGTTCTTAAGCTCATTAAAAAAAAAAAAAAAAAAAAAAAAGGACTGATTTCTAGAAAATAATCTGGCTCACCATTTTTCCATTTTCTTCAATTTCAGAAAACAATGTCTGGGGAGATAGCTCAGAGATCTAAGAGCCTGCCTGTAAGTGCAAGGTCCAGAGTTTGATCCCTAGTACTGCATGCTGTGCCAGCCCTGGAATCCCAAATGCATGGTGGTGCATCCCTGTAATCCCAGTGCTGGGGAGGCTTAGACAAGAGGATAACTATGAGTCCAAACCGCATAGTGAGACCCTGTACCAAAAACAAAACAAAACTGAAAAAAAAGCAAAAAACACCTCTTCAGTTTTACACTTCTGCCTGAAGAATAAATATCCACCTATGAAACTGTATCTATTTTACCTGAGAATCCTTATAGTTGCCCAGAGGCTCAGAAATTACCATTAGCTCATCACATATATATCCTTGTCCTTCCAATCCTTACCACCCTTACTAATGCATCACTGATAAAAAGTCTTTTTGTTACTATTTGTAAGGGAGAAAGAAAGCAAATGAAAATTAAGAAAAACTCAGAATAAATTATCAACTCAATAAACTATAAAGCTAAACCAAATGCTATAGTCTTAGGTTACTCTGCTGTTTTGAAGTTAAACAGTGGTCATAATAAAAATAGAAGGCCACCCAAATAATGAGTGTCAAGTCTGAACACTAATTAAAATGAGAAAAAAACAACTTCAAAGTCTCTTTTTTTGATGTATCATACAAACTACAAACATAAGACAAAAGGATTATCATGGAGCATGAAATACAATATACTTGATTCTCCCTGGAAACCCGATTTACCTTTTACTCATTTCCACTTCCTTGAAAGTTTGAGTTCCTAATGATCTTGGGACTAAGAATACAAAATCTTACAATACAAAAAGAAAAGTGACAAGATGACTATGGATTGATATTATCTAAACTACTCTTATTGGCCCTAAGGTAAAGCAACCAAGTTGAATAAATACAAATAATCAGATTCTTTCCTACTGCATAAAAAATTAATGTCATACATTGCAAATAAAAATGATATTAAACCAAAACTTGTCTAATAATAATGTGCATAATGACAGTTTTTTATATTCAGAACTTCATTTCTCTTTTTTAATATTAATTTTATTGAGAAAGAAACAGCATTGAGACAGTTTCAAAATAGGTTAGTAGGGCAGTTACAATATTAATACAATGCATATTGTTGTCTTTGTAGTAGTTATTCATAGTACAAGATGCAGATATGATATCTTGTCTAAACACTATTAGTACAAATCTTTCTTCTCATTGAACTAAGAGAAAGTAGCAGTATATCTATCCTATTTTGTATACAGATATACATATATATACATATATATATATATATATATTTTTTAAACTACAAAATGGTCCTTCACTTATATCCCCTTTTTGGTTTAGTTTTGTCAGAGATGGGTATTCCCTTGCCATTCAAATATTGTTTGTGTGTGAATTCAGCAAAGTAATCCAACAAATCCAGTAGTCCATAATAATCGTGGGTTATCCGCAGGGCTGGCAATGTCAGAAGTTGTTGACTTGAGCTTTTTATAGCTCAGCATATTAATACGGCTTTACTTTTTACACTTCGGTTTTGTACTTTTCTGTTGGATGGTTAAGGCCAAGATAAAGCAAGACCTATATAAAAAAAAATGTAACTTTTGTATCTGACAAGGTCAGTCAAATCCCCTCAGGATTTACCCTGAAACCCTGTATAACAGTTTGTAGATCTTTTGTCAGTGTCAGCCATGTGGCTGAGTCACAGCCATTGCTTGACCAATTTGCTCTCTGTGAAAGCCTGAGAGAATGTTTTCTCTCCATGTGACTCTCCTTAGGTTCTCCTTAGAACCTTGCATTTGCCAGGCAAGCATTTATTCCACTGAGCTATCTCCCGGGCCCTGAAAGATAAAGTTGATGCTACCACCACTCCACCTCTGCGTGGACTTCGGTCTATTATCATCTTACTCAATGGTCAAACTTCCTTATGTCCAACTTGTAATGATCTGTAGGAGAAAATAGTAGTAACTGATTGATTTACTTCATTCAAAGTGAGATTTATTTGAGCAAAAGACTGCTGAGTTCTGAACTTATTTCCTAAGTAACTATAGTCATCTATAAAGAAGAATTACAGAAAAAACTGTAGAAAGTGTTGCTTCATTTTCTGCACCAGTTTCACAGAGGAAGATAATGGCAAATAGGAGTGTAGGCCCTCCTTGGAAAAGTGAGGAAAAAAATCTTGAAAAAAAGAGAACCTTGACTATATTAAGATTTGGTAGCACAAATGTCATAAACATGCCACATGAATAAATAATCAAATGTCAGTGATGAGCCGATATGTTTTATGTCTCTTGGGTAAATGTTTTAAGAAAAATCAAAGTTGACAAAGAAATCATTTTACCTCTTAAACATCATTATGGTGGCAATGATGAATAAAACTGAAATCAGAACATTTTCTATGAGACTAAAATGGGAATAGCATAGGAGACCAGGAGTTAACTGACTTATACTAATTTATAAGAGTTTGAGGAATGATGAGTGAAGAAAACTGCACTATTCAGAGCCTGGGAGATAGTTCAGTGGCATGAGTGCATGCCTGGCAAGTGCAAGGTCCTGAGTTTGATCCCCGGTACCAGGAAAAAAAAAAAAAAAAAAAAAAACCTGCATTATTCATTTTTCTTGGCTTTGGGACAATCCAGTCATCCACTATTTTGAACAAGCAACCTAGTCAAACACCAGTGCTGCTACACATGATTTCTCTGGCCCCAACTGTCGCTTTAACTTCTCCCTCTGAGCATCCATGGCTCAACATCAACTCCAGTGACTTAGGTTTCTCCACGAATCCTAGGCAAATCATATTTGGTGGGAAATCATTTCAAACCTTTTCATGGCTGCCAACATAATTCTCCTTGCTGTTTGCTGAACAGAAGAAATGTAATGAAAACTAATCATATTATTGAAAATTATCTTAAGCAATCTGATTTTCAAATGACCATAGAATATCATGATTTCATTTAAGGAGTTTGCCATATCAACTTAAATTTACCTTCATCTAGAATACATGCACTTGCTTCATGTTAAAGATATTTCAACTGCCAAAGTCTCCTTCTTATTTAAAAATAAGCTCGCTGATCATTCCTTCATAGAACAGACATTTGTTTATTATTGCTTATATCCAAGCACTATGTGGTCAAAATTCTTCTGCCCAAGGGGGCACAACTAGTTGTCATGAAGATTAGTAGCTACTAATGTATCTTATTAAATATACTCATTCTGCCAGCATGGATAACACAGGCCAACTTTCCTTGGTTTGACAAGTTTGAGCTCTTTCTTCTACTACTAACTACATGAGGACTGATATGACTAGCATACCAGGCTGGGGTTTTTTTTTTTGTACTGGGAATGGAACTCAGGACCTTGTACTTGCCAGGCAGGCACTGTGATGCTATGCTATATCCCTGGCCCATTTTCTACCATCATTTATAGTAAGTTTTTTTTTTTGTTTTTTTTTTAAAGTTACTGAAATTATTTATAAAGAATATCTAGGTTTATAAAGAAGTCCAGAAAATATCTCCAGGTCTGCTCAGCTGTTCAGAAATGAATGAATCCCATTCACCAGACAAATCTTGTGTATATATATCCCAGCAAATATAAATTGAAAACAGAAAATAAAGTTTCAACTAAGAAAATGTGGATTTAACAGCTATGTAAAAACACAGTATCAGTTAGCACTTTTAGAATCAATTTTCCATTTTTATAATTTAAAACACATTATAATTACTTATGAAATTTAACAGCAGAAGAGAAATTGACTATTCCTCCTATCAAACCCAAACAGAAACTCACTCTGCTATGTTGAGATAGCCACAGGAAGCTGCCGCATGAAGAGGTGTCCAGCCCTCATTGTCTTGCTGGTTTACATTGGCTCTGTTCTCCACCAAAAACTTCACCATGTCCAAATTTTCATCAATACAGGCCTGAAAAGAAAAGCCCATTCAATAATTATTTATTGAGTTCTAGTGTGTGCCAGGCATTGCTTTGGACACTGACAATGCTCAGCAGTTCAGGTAATATATTAATTTTCACTTCTTTTATACTAAATATCTATAGCATGACTTCCAAGCCTACAAGTACTATGGGAATATTTTTTATTGTAGTAAGAGCACTAACAGGATTAATTATAAAAGAGATGCCTAAAGTGATATAAGTGAGCAAAGTGTTTTACCATTATATTACAAAGACAAGAACATGTTAGAAATCTGATACACTGATTTGCTTATGAATTTTAAAAGGAAAAAAATCATGTAGCTTCTGATGCAAATTTCTCAGTGGGAAATTACAGTTTAAAATCTAGGACTGCTAGAATTTTTTATATTTTTTGGTAAGAAAGAGCAAGAGGCTCATTTCAGGTAAAAGAAATACAATTTCTGGACAGAAAAATATGTTTATAGCTTAGAGTTATGATCTTTATTTGCCTACTTCATACGAGCAATTAGAGGTGGAGCACAAAACCTTTTTCAATAAAGGCTTTAGACCCCTTAAGAAACAACCACAAGCACCACAATGACATGTACAAAAACCAAAAAGCTGCCCTGACACAACTATAGAATAAAAAGGAGGCAGAAGGCCTAAATTGACAAAAGTAATCATTATCCAGGTTTGGATGTTTCTAAAAACAGCCGGGATAATTCAGGATCTAGAAACAAAAGAGGCTATCTTGTTAAAACTTGCCTATGAACATCTTCCTTCAAGTAAATAAATACTTACAAATTTTATAGAGGAAGAATTCACTAGCCAAATAAAAATGATGTCACAATAATATTAGGTTATTTGCATTTTGATTGTGTTAACATTGGCACTAATGATGCAAAAACAATAGTGAGTGAAATGGCAGTGCATTAGCACAAATAAAGTAGCTTTTAGAGAAGCCAACTCCACGTAAGAATAATGTAAATGAATCAGTAAAAATTAATTTTCCTTCATCTAAATCCCTGAGTATAGTATAAGCTTTTTAAATATTGTGTGATAAAAAGGGAAGTATACTTGCACTTTTGCTATAAGTGAAATGTGTGCCCATTGCTAGGAAAAAGCACTTATCTGACTTGCAAGATGAACTAATTACTTTTTTCATAAAACACTATTGCTTCAAAAGAATTGCTGACTGTTATTCAAACTCGAAATGAGCAAAGTGAGCCTGTCACCACAAAGAAAACAACTACCATTTTTTTTGTCAATGATAAAACTTTGTCATGCAAAGGAAAACTGGAATTTTGGAAAACCTGGTCAACACCATGAGCACAATGGGACTATCAAACAATAAGGATAATTTGTTGACATTACAGAGAGAAATGTGTTTACATTTGAAAGGTCTGCTAAACTCAACTAAAACCATATTTTCCTAATAACCCAATGCATGGTGTTAGAGAATCATGAGTAAAAGATTCAATCGATTTACAAATTTTTAATGGAACAGAATAAGACCAGTCCATTAATATGGTTTCTGTTTCCACACTGCAGTCAGTATGTAAGAAATCACCACTTGGAGTTTTTATATAGTACACAAGAACAACACCCACATTTGTCTGAGTAAGCAATCAAAATACTCCTCTTTCAAAGTATATAGTTATTTTTAATTAAAATATGAAATTTATATTATTATGTAATGGACTATTATTTTTCAACTGAATACCTATATTTTTTCAATGCAATATAATTCTCAATAATATATAACAACAAATATAAACAATGTCCTTAATAAATTGAGGGAGTTTTGAATAAACTTTTAAGTGTAAATGAATTTGAATGTCAAACAGTTTGAAAACTACTGTCTTCTACTAGGTTTACCAAGAAGTATTTTATGGTGATAATGAATAACTAGATCACTGTGGAAAGTATTCAAGTTAGACCTTGAGAGGATCTCTGTAAATAAAGTACCCAAGCAGTACACACAACAAAAAAACTTAAGGTAATTCCCTCTAACAGTAAACCTCAAGGGCTGGCCAAATAGCTCAGTGGATTTGTTTTTTTAATTTTATTGAGAAACAAATAGCAATGAGACAGTTTCAAAACCGATTAATAGGACAGTTTCAACAATTAATACACTGCATATTGTTGTCTTCATAGTGGTTATTCATAGTACAAGATGCAGACATGATATCCTGCCCAAACACTCTTAGTACAAATCTTTCTTCTCACTGAATTAAGAAAAAGCAACTGTATATCTATCCTATTTTGTATATACAGTTACAAAAACAGGTCTTCATTTGTATCCCCTTTTTTTGTTTAATTTTGTCAGAAATGGGTATTCCATTGCCATTTAAATAATGTAGTTATGTAAATTCAGCAAAATAATCCAATGTAGTCCAGTAGTCCATAATAGTAGTGTGCCATCCATAAGACGGCCAATGTAAGATGTTGTTGACTTGAGCCTTTCACAGCTCAGCTTATTAATATGGCTTTACTTTTCATACCTTATTTTTATACTTTTCTGCTACTCAGCAGATTAAAGTGCCTGCAATGAGGCGAGGGGCCAAGGGGTTCAATCCCTGCTGTGCCGGCCCCACTCCCTGGACACCCTGAAAGGGCAATTGAGACTGGGTGTGGTGGCATGCACCTATAATCCCAGCACTTGGGAGGCTTTAAACAGGAGAATCACTATGAGTCTGATCTAGTAGTCAAACTCTGAACACCCTGTAGACCCTTCCCTAAAATACAAAAAATAAAAAAAAAAAAAAATTTAAAAATGAACCTCATGCCAAACCTGTCTAAGAGCAAAGAATATGGATAAAAATTCAATTTAAGTGAAAACAATTTTTGAGAGGCTCTAGGCTGGCCTTGAACTCATTCTGTAGCCCAGGCAGGGCTTGAACTTGCAATGAACCTCCTGCCTCAATTTCCCAAGTCCTGGGATTATAGTCATGTGCCACCACACCCACTTAGGTGAAAATTTAATTAGCTAACAGGATACAAAAAGCACCTTTATTAATTTTCCCCTAATCATTTGATACTTTTTTTTTAAATAACTGAGATTATTCCAACTCATGGCAAAAAGTGGAAGGGCAAGCAAGAATGTGAGAGAGGAGGCTGAACTGATAACTCATTCTCATAGAATAAAAGCATTAATTCATTAATGAAAACTCCAACCATAAACACATTAGCCTAGATTTGACTTGATACAATATAATTCCTCTAACTTGACCTTTTAAGTTCCAATAAGCTAGCCATTATTCATAAATCCCTTTTTCAACAAGCAGCTTTAGAAATTACACTTCTTCTATGATAAATGTAACCTTTGCATTATTAACTTCCATAAGCACTCTCTATTTACATTCTTTACATATAAAACTTAAAGATTATCCATAAAATATTAAAGTTTTTATAATTATGCTTATCATTAGGCATATATCATGTTTGTCAATTTGTAAGAAGGTCCAGCCAACTCACTGCAGAGTATTTACTAAATACTATAAAACTTCAAGTGAAAATTGGGAAGTGAATTAATCTGTTTTCTGGTGCTATTATAGAATACCTGAGTAATTTATAAAGAAAAGAAGTTTATTTTGACCTATGGCCCTGGCAGCTAAGAAGTTCAAGACTGTTAGAGCCTTGTGCTATTCCAACTCATGGCAAAAAGTGGAAAGGCAAGCAGGAATGTGAGAGAAAAGGAGGCTGAACTTATAACTCATTCCCATAGAATAAAGGCATTAATTCATTAATGAAAACTCCAACCATAACCCAAGCACCTCTCTCTAGGTAACCCCCTTCCCAACATTTCTGCATCAAGGAATTGAAGTTTCAACACATAAACTTCTAAATGACACACTCAGGGCAGTTTCCAAAAGAGTACTGCAATCCAAGAAGACTATTTTAGGAACTATATCATACACACTCTGCTCTGAATAGTAACTCCTATTCTGTAATGGTTAATCTTGATTGGCTTGAGAAATCTAGATCAGTAGAATATATTTTTGGATATGTCTGGGTTAGACACATGGGCATGGCCCAGGGGAATATATCTGGTCCCTAGTCTCTTCTTCCGGCTCTCTCCCTGTTCTCTGCCTCCTGGATGCCGTGAGTGATGCAGGCTTGCTTCTAACATGCTCTTTGTCCATATTTCTGCCTTGGAGCCAGCTGACCATGGACTGAAATCTCTCAAATCATGAGCCATAATAAACCTTTTTTCCTATAAGTTGTATATGTCAGATATTTTATTCCAGCAATCAGAAAGATAACCAAGACACATAATAAATGTATTATCTTAATTTGGGCAGCCCAGGACAGTAGGGTCAACTGTTTCTTGTTTGGTTGCAAAAAGTCTTTGGCTCCAAAAAAAGAGCAGTCTAAAATCTTATCCCAGATTGTTATACCACCACCAGGCAGACTTTTAAAAGCCAATTGTTTAAAAAAAAGCCAATTGTTTTCAAGATAATTCTGTGCCTGCTAAAGATGGCAAAAGCCAAATTCCAGAAGGCCTAATATATAAGCCCAGCTAGTCCAGATATCAAAAAGAAGAGACTTAATTTTTTCTTTTTTCTTCTTATTGGCTCTCTTTCCTTTCTAATCTTCACTAGTTCAGTTTTCTTCCTTTTCAATTTTGTGACATTGCTGTCCATAGATTTCTAATCCTTGACACAGTAGGCTTATGGAGAATGATACTGTAAGGAAGTCTGAGAGAACGACAATAAGAAACTGGCCTAATCTGAAATGTAATTTGGCAGGTCATCAATCTCTGAAGAGTTATTTTTGAGAAAACAAAATAGTTCAACTGCCTAAATCATTCTCTACATCCCATACAAAATGAAGGACCATAATTGTTAAAAGCATTAGTTTTAGGGGCAAACAGACCAGCATTTAGATACCAGCTCTACCAATGCATATAACCACGAGCAGCAGAGCTAACCTAGGTAATATGAGTACACTCATCTAGAACACTGGGAAAACTTCCCACCCATCCTTGGAATAGTTCCTGACATTTGTA